TGATTTTTGGTATTACAAATGATTTTTTTATTAAAATCTGGACATTTTGAGTATTATGAGATTCTAAATTTTATTTATACGTTGTTTTAGCTGGCTTTCTCTGACTTCAGCAGTACAGGGAAGAGTACCATCTCTCTCTATATAAAAGCCAAGAAATCAGAACCACAGAACAACTAAAACGACCAGAATGACTTGTTGCTATGATGTGCACTGCAGCGGCCAACTGGCCTGATTGGCCCTGTAGCCTCTCCGCCTGGCTGGCTCCACCCCTGATCAGCCCCCAACACCCCAATCGGGAACAGGGTCAGCCAGCCAACTGTCCATGGCGCACCCCCAAGTCAGCCACAACCCCTTCCCCTGGGTTGCTTGGCACCCCCCACCCTGATCGGGGGCGGGGCTGGCTGGCCAACCACCTGCAGCCCACCCCCTGGCTGGCCAGAAAACTGCAGCCCCTCCCCCCAGCTGGCCCGGCTCCAGATAGCCCCACATTGAGGTGGGTGGGCCGGACCCCACCCATGCATAAATTCATGCACTGGGCCTCTAGTCTTATTATGAGTATAGAAGTCTAGGCTACCCAGTCTTCAACAATTGATACCTGAGGAAGGAAGAGGTTACTTGCTGGTCAAGAGATGGAGTTTCAGATCCCATTAAGCTCCCATTAATCCACTTTGCTCTTCAGGTGGCCTCCACTGATACCGTGGAGAGTTTTAAAAGTCATCACTCTCTATTAGGCCTTCTCAAATACTACCTCAGCAGGGAGGGGTGGATAATCTTATTACTGCTGCAGGTGATTGAAGTTCAAGCCATCTTATGGGGTCTCCACTGTGGCTTGTTACTTCACTATGGGGATAAAAGTCCTGGTTCCCAGGACTCATCTTCTCTAACACCAACCCCTGGAGGAGTTGTTTGGCCTTGTTAAAGCCTGGTGATGATAGAAATATGGACTCCCCATTTGGCCTTTGCTGTCATGGATGGAGGTGTGGCCACAGCTTTATTTCTGTGGTGTTTAGCTATAATAGAACACTTATTGTCTAGAAATTTTCTGTCTTGCTATTCTGTTCTTTTCTTGATCATTTAACTGAAGAAAGCTGGATTTTGTTGAGTTTTTGTTGTCTAAACCAGTGATCGGCAAACTGTGGCTCGCGAGCCACATGCGGCTCTTTGGCCCCTTGAGTGTGGCTCTTCCACAAAATACCACATGCAGGTGCACACATACAGTATGATTGAAACTTCGTGGCCCATGTGTAGAAGTCAGTTTTTGGCCTGGGCGAGTCTATTTTGAAGAAGTACTGTTGATATTTGGCTCTGTTGACTAATGAGTTTGCTGACCACTGGTCTAAACCTATTGGTATTTTTGAGTTGCTGTGTTTTTTTTATTGTAGCTGAGATACAATATGACATTAGTCTCAGACATATAACATAGTGATTTGAGATTTCTGTCCCTTGCAAAGTGATCACCATGATGAGTCTAGTAACCTCCCATCACTGTACAAAGTTATTATGCTATTACTGATGCTATTTTCTACTAGAGGCCCAGTGCATGAAATTTGTGCAGGATTGGGGGAGGGGTGTCCCTCAGCCCAGCCTGCACCCTCTCCAATCTGGAACCCCTCAGGGGATGTCCGACTGCCAGTTTAGGCCCGATCCTGCATCCCTCTCACAATACGGGACTGCTGGTTCCCAACCACTTGCCTACCTGCCAGCCTGATAACCCCCTGACCACTCCCCTGCCAGCCTGATCACCCCCAATTGTCTTCCCCTGTTGGCCTGGTCACCCACAACTGTCCTCTCCTGCTGGCCCAATCACCCCCAACTGTCCTCCCCTGCCAGCCTGGTCACCCCCAACTGCCTTCCCCTGCAGACCTGGTCACTCCTAACTGCCCTCCCCTGCAGGCTTGGTCATCCCCAACTGTCCTCCCCTGCCAGCCCGATCACCCCCCACTGTCCTCCCCTGCAAGCCTGGTCCCTCACAACTGCCCTCCCCTGCAGGCCTGGTCATCCCCAACTGCCCTCCCCTGCAGGCCTGTTCACCCCCAACTGCCCTCCCCTGCTGGCCATCTTGTGAAGACATTTGGGTGACCATGTTGTGACCACAGGGGGATGGCCATCTTGTGCAAGTGCATGACAGTCAATTTGCATATTACCTCTTTATTATATAGGATACTGTACATTATATTCATGTAGTTATTTGTTCAATGATTGGAAATTTGTACCTCTTAATTCCTTGCACCTTATTCACCCATCTCTTGCTCCCCTTCCATCTTGAGTTGCTGTTTTCTTTAGCTCTAAGTCTGAGATATGTGAGGCAAAAAGAAAACTTACCGTCATATCTTTCCTTGGGTCCCAAGGTTCTCTGTGATCTGCCTTCATCTTTCCATATCTCAGAATCTTATGTTTGTTTTGTATATAACTAGAGGCCCAGTGAACAAAATTGTACACAGGTACAGTCCCTAAGCCTAGCCTGTGATCAGGGTCATCTTCCCCAGCTGCTGGCAGCTACCCCCCCCACACACCGCCACCCACCCCGGTTCCCCATTCACCATCCAGCGATGGAAATCTCATGGCAGGGGTGGGACCGTGAAGTCGGCCGTTCCTGCCTGCTCGCTAGTCCTACCCACGCTGCCAGTCGCCCACATCCCACACCACCCACCCCTGTTCCCTGTTCACCATCGATGGCAATCGGAGCCTGCAAGCTGGGGAAGGGACCAAGAGGTCAGCCCATTCCGCCCACTTGCCATTCCTGCCCCCCACTGACCCTGGTCCCTGTTCCCCATCTGGCGATGGGAGCCTGATGGCCGGGGGAGGGACCAAAAGATTGGCCATTCCCACCTGCTCACCGGCCCCACCCCTGCTGCTGGTCACTCTCTGTGTATGGGTGACAGGCGGGGCAGGGGCCTTGGACTGGCGCCACCTGCATCCCCTGCCACTCACCCTGGGTCCCCGTTTGCCATCGGTGTTTGAAGCCTGCCAGCCGGGGAAAGGGACCAAGAGGTGTTAGGTCAGTGCACCTCATAGTGACTGGTTGAGTGGTTGTTCTGGTCATTCTGCCGTTAAGGTCGCTGGGCTTTTATTATATAGGATGTGCAAGGTTTTTATTTGTACTTAGCAGGAAACATAGGAAAATGTAGATCTATGCCATCTTCCTGGAAGTGGAAGTTCTCTCAATTGATTTTTAAATTTATATTTACCTTTAACCCAGCAATTTTGCTAAGCTCACTTTTTTGCAGATTCTTTATAATATTTTATGATTATGACAGTGGTGTCATATAAATTCTTCCAGTTCCTGAGCACATAATATATTTCCATTTCTTTGTGTCTTCTTCAATTTCTTTCATCAGTGTCCTTTAGATGTTAGTGTACATGTCTTTCACCTCCTTAGTTAAGTTTTTTCCTATGTATTTTATTCTTTTGTATTCTTCAACTTTACTGAATTTGTTTATTAGTTCCAACAGTATTTTAGTGGTGTCTTTAGAGTTTTCTATGCACACAATGACAGTTTTACTTCTTCCTTTCAAATTAGGGTGCCTTTTATTTCTTTCTCTTGCCTAACTGCTCTGGCTAGGACTTCCACTACTATGTTGAACAGAAGTGGTGAGAGCACACATCCTTCTATTGTTCCTGATCTTAAAGGAATACTGCCTATCATTCAATAACTGAACATAGTTGTTTCATAAATTTTTGTTCAGTTTTCTAGTTATTTGTACTATTACAATAATTATGAGCCTTCTTTCTCTAACATGGCCAGAACAGAAGCATATATTCTCATCTGTGAGTGCCCTCTTTTAGCATTGTTATATACAAATGAAGTCTCTTTTTATTTTTCACCCTTGCTGGAGCAAGGCCTCCAAAAATTGGTTGCCTCCCCCCACAAAAAAAAAGGGGAGAGAGAGAGCATATAAATGAAGTCTTGTCAATTAATACATTAGATGCCATGCATTGCCTCTTCTATTTTACTAGAGGCCCGATGCATGAAATTTGTGCAAGGACCTTGGCTCCGGCCCCTGCTTGCCGCAGCCGGGGACCTCTGTCGCCTCTGCTGTGGCCCCTGCCTGCTGTGGTGTTGTCTAGAAGGAAGGATGTCCGGAAGGACATCAGGTCTAATTAGCATATTACCCTTTTATTATTATAGATGTTTGTGCTCCTAAAGGGCTGACTGCTAGATATGTACATATTCATGTTGACTGATGGGCTTCACTTCAAAGAATTAGATAGGTAGGTTAGTGTCTCTCAGTGAAGATCTCTACAGTGCTGGCAGCACTGTATCCTGATGCCCTGGTACCCATGCGTGTCCCCTCTGTGCTTGGAATATCCTAGGAACTCTACCAAGAAGACTGTATTCATCTTTTTATAGCCTTCTCCTGGGAGTATGCCAGGCTATAATTTTCTCGGTCTGGTTTATCCATTAATGTAATTTCATCTTCTGCCTTCTGGAAGCACGTCACTATTACTGTTTTCTCTTGGCTACCTATCCCATTATCAGCTTTTCTAATAATTTATTCTCTTTAGTTTCTCTGCAATATCATTTCCATGGAGCTTGGGGAGAGTGGGGAAGGCAAATACATAGGTCCATACTATAATTTTGAATTAGATGCCTCTTTGAAAATGTTATGACAAATTTTGTGAAAATCACTATGTTATTAAAAATTTCAATTAACTTTTTAGTGAATAGAGCGTTGATATCTCCAAGGGTTAGTACCTATCAAAGGAATAAATAATAATGTTGATGTAAATTGCTTAGAAATGAACCAAATCCAATGAATGATTCAGATTATTTAAGCACGTCTGGTGGATGGATGGATCTGTTCGTTTGTTTATTATTTTGCTTGGGATGCTTTTAAATATCAACTTTAAAAAATGTTTGAACTCTATAGACAAATGTAACACCGCAGGCTAAAAATTATACTTTTGCTTCACGATTGAATTTGATTATATACCTATAGTAAAGTAGACAATTAGAGTTTATTGTATATTTGTGGCTGGGTTATCTATTTTTCTCACAGGTATAAGAGTAAACCTGCTGATGACTACGAAGATCCCAAAGATGTTCAAGCCATCAAAGAGGCTCAGGTGTTTATGGGAGACTTCAATCTGAAGACAGCCGCAGACTATAAGATACCCGAGCACATGAGAATAAATGCTGCCAAGAAAGAAGAAGAACTGGGACAGCTAGACTCTATGGTACTTAGAAACACTTCGGTGTTTCAGATCAAAAAATGACTTCCTCCCCCTCTCTGCCCCCTGGGACCTGGCTGAGTACACATGCCTTCAGGAAGGACTTCGATTGAGTGGTAGGAGGGGAGGACAGGGGAACTGAGCCCTCAGAGCCAGCTGAGGGATACCACACATTATAGCCAGATTGCCTCCCCTTCTGGAGAAGCTAAATGGGGAAAAGCCTAAAAGCTAGAGAAAAGAGTAATTTTGTAGTGAACACGAATGGTCAGATACATTTTTATCTTGAAATTTTGTTAGGCATTTCAATCAGGGGACAAAAGCAAATCATATTTGAAACTGTTCCTTGTGAGTGGGTTGTCATTTTGCTTCCTTTCTGTTCTTTTTAATTAGACCCATTCAAAGAAAATGTACTTGAACAAGTCCATCCTCTCACTTCGAGATCTTAAAGTGGCTGTCATCGAGGAGATACAGTGCCTGGTACAAGAGATGAAGAACATTCAGTCAACTCTTCACGCATCCAAGCGCATCTCCATTCCGAAAATCCCTCAGATACACCCGGAAGAAGTTCCTGAAAAGAGATTTCAGTATGATGAGGAAATTCTCCTCGATTTTAAGCAACAGCTGATGAAAAATGAGGATACAAAGGCGCCCCTAGTGGAACAGGCGGGGCCGGTAGGCTCAGGTGGAGGATTCCTTAGATCCTCTTATGCGAAGGATGGGGATTTGACAACACGAGAGTCCTTGTCTAGAGCGTCAAGGTCATCAGCATTCAGCCTAGATCTTCCAAAGCCATCTGAATTTGAAAGAGCAGATCCAATTGATGTAGAGACGGAGATTATGAAGAGAAAGGAGATTAAAAACATATACATGCAGCAGTATTTGGCCAACAGGGTAAGGGGTGAGACTGTGCCTATTTATTTTTTAAATATATTTTTATTGATTTCAGAGAGGAAGGGAGGAGAGAGAGGTAGGAACATCAATGATGACAGAGAATCATTGATTGGCTGCCGCCTGCATGCCCTCCCGCCCCCCACTGGGGATCGAGCCTGTGCCCTTGACTGGAATCGAACCCGGGACCCTTCAGTATGCAGGCCGACGCTCTATCCACTGAGCCAAACTGGCTAGGGCCGAGACTGTGACTATTTAAAGCTGAGAGAGAATGGAGCAGGGATGTCTATCTAGTTTATTAATTATTTATTTAACATTTTTCTACATTAACCTTCCCCAAACCCTGACCAGGCCACAATTCACTCATGGCTTGGCTTCCTCCTCACCCCTGTATTTTCTGAAAATCATTGTGCTCTGCCCAGAACTGTGGAGCTTTGTAACTCCTTCCTTTTTGGGAAGCTAAGCATTAGGGGCAAATGCATGTTAACTGGCATCATCTCGCTGAAGCCATGGTAAAGGGGAAGTGATGAGAAGCTTTCACATGATGGATGGAACATAACAAAAACCTTCCAGAGGAAATGGGCCACCCTCTGCTTTTCATACTCTCCCCTTTCTCTCATTTGCTCCAATACTGGGAGTGTTCATGGTTATGAACGGCTTCAAAATTCTTCTGGAGCTAGAATGCCAGCTATTTTTATTTCGAGGAATATCAGGACCAGACTGGGAGCAGTTGTGCAGGAGGTACTCCTGGGGTGCTAGTTCCCTGCTACCAGCCGTATTGTGTCTTTTCCAGCTAGGTGCTCCCCTATAGCTTTCCAACCTTACTCTTCACCCATCAACTCTTCTACCTCCAGCTCAGTATTCTCATGCTTCCTGCTTTTCCCCACTTTCCTCCCCCAATTTTGAATTTCTTATCTGTGCTTTTTCTTTTGCTATTTTCTTCTACCAGAGTTGAGTCATCACTCAAAACTCAGCCCAGTTCCAAACCCCTTCCAAATCTTCTGTCCACATCATATACTCTTAAAAAACAAAACAATAAAAAACAACTTCCATTGCACCTATAATCAGCACACCATGTTTTATTCTTAGTTTTCTTTGCTGCTTTGCGTGTGTTAGTTTTGTCTTGCAAATTAGGTTATATAGATCTTAAGGGAAGTACATAACTTCTTCTGACTCCCTTGCAGTGTCTTGGACAATGCCAAACATGTAAAATGTTTTGACTGAATTGACTAATTTACTTTATTAATTGAAAATTCTTATTGGTCCTTCTAAGAGCAGGGACAGTGCGAGCTAGGTAGTAGTGATGCAACTCAAGTCAGACATGTTCTCTAGCCTCATAAAGCTTGTAGGGTGTCAGGGATAAGAGAGAATAGGACAAGTGAAACCCTTACAAACTTGGTCACCTATGTGGTGAGTTTCAGAATGCTGTTGTACTAAAAATATATAGTCCTGCCTCCAAAGAAATTTTTAAATAATTCAAATGTGTTGAACAAATTTTTTTTTTTTGGAGGGGGAGCCCACTTAATCTACAGCCCTACATAAAGTTTAATTTTTTAAAAAAATTTCTTTGGTTTTCTTTTGTTTGTTTTTAAGCTATCTGAAATTCTCCAAAAGTTTTACTGTCCCAAACCCACAGATCTCTTCACCACTCTCAGCACCAACCTGGGCCCTCGCTCATAAATTGCAAGCATTTGAGTTGAGGTTCCCCCATCATGTACAGCCTACATGATGTCCTGCATGGAATGGTTTGTCTTCTTCCTGCTGTATGCGTTTCCTCAGGAGAATCAGTCCCGGGGCTCTCTCTCGATCTCTTCATCTCCTTTGGGATGGGATGGGTGGGGGAGAAGCTGTGCCAAAATCAGAGCAAAACTGAGGCTTTAAAATCATTAGGACATCAGACGAGTAAGGTCTAGACCAGGGCTTGGGATACTTAGGTTCCTATCCCAGTTCTGTGACAAATTAGCTTTGATCTCAGGAAAATCACCGTTAGCCTCAATTTCATCATTTCTACAGTAAGAAGATTGTGAACAGGTTTCCTGTGGGTCCATGATTGTATTCACCTTTTTTGAAAATATTTACTGTTTGGTAGGTTTGAATATTTTCAAAGTAAGAAGTTGAGGGAAATATTTACCTAGTGTTTACTGTATGAACGGCCATGTAGAATACTGTGGGGGATATAACAGAGGTAGACATAACACTATCCACAAAGAGCTTATAGTCAGTACAACAAGACTTTTTTGATCAATGGCTTTTTTAAAAAAATGTATTTTATTGATTTTTTACAGAGAAGAAGGGAGAGGGATAGAGAGTTAGAAACATCGATGAGAGAGAAATATTGATCAGCTGCCTCCTGCACATTCCTTGCTGGGGATGTGCCCGCAACCAAGGTACTTGCCCTTGACTGGAATTGAACCTGGGACCCTTTAGTCTGCAGGCCGAAGCTCTATCCACTGAGCAAAACCAGTTCGGGCTCAATGGCTTTTTTTAATGGAAGAGAAATAGCTGGAAGGACTATAGTTATAGAATTTCTGCCACTTAATGAATAAATTAATTTAAGTAAACTTAAGACCATTGCTGAATGATTTATATGACTAGACACAACCACACACACCCATGTAATTCTCCATCTATATTAATGGCATAATGAGAAAATGCTTTTACCCAAACAAATTAGTATTGTTAGTTTAAAAAAATACTGTTCTTAACTTCTAACATATATACAAATCTTTTTCTACCCCAGATCAAAGAACTGATTGTCACCTTTGATGCAGAACTCCATCTCCTGAGACACCAGAAACTGAAACTAGACATTCAGATGAAATTATCTGACCTGAACCATGTCACATTATTTCAAGAAATGATGCTCCTCAAGAATTTTGAAAAACAGGAGAACATACTTCAAGAGCGTGTTAATTCATTAGACAAAGAGGAACAGGAGATGCAAGTATGAATGAGCAGGAAAATGCTAGCTGGGTGCACCCTTAAGTTATGGAAAGAACTTGATTCTTCTTTTCTTCTCCACTTAATTTTTTATCTTGTTCAAGTCCTCATCTCTTTCTTGTCTTCTCTCCCTTCTCTTTTCCCCCATTATTCAGACTTGCGCTGTATTTTTGGTATCCTTGGTCAGAGAGAAGTGAATCAGATTTTTTTTTAGTAAATTTGATCTAATGTCTTGTAAGGTAGAATAAAATTTTCAAAAGTTAGCCTTATATTTAGTTTATCCATAGATTTCAAGTTTATTTTATGTTGTTACTACCCACCATATGAAGTTGAGTTTTGATTATATGCTATTCTTATGAATATAACTGGAAAAGAAGTTCATGAGTTTCTTAAATATGATAGCTAGTTTCAGAGTAATGCCTAATTAAA